TCAGGCTCTGAGCCATCAGCCCAGAGCCCGACGCGGGGCTCGAACCCACGGACCGCGAGATCATGACCTGGCTGAAGTCGGACGCTTAACCGACTGCGCCACCCAGGCGCCCCTATTTGGCCTTTTTAAAAAGCAAAGAACTGGTAACTGTGCGACCACCCCTACAAATTGCACATGTGAGTCGCTCTAAAGGAAGCATCTTGGTAAAATAAGAAGGAAAGACAAGCACACAACCTTTTCAAACCTACTACAGGATATAATTTTACAAGTTGTAAGATAGTTTGATGTTTTCAAATTAAGCTTTCAATGTTCAAAGAAAATGACAGAGAACCATTTGCCTCTTCAATCAGTCATGTGTAACCCAAGTCACCTATCATCTAAGCCAAAGAGATGAGTGTATCCGATTTTCACAGAATTTGTGAGTACCTAAAATTACAGACAGGGTCTTCCTCATGATTAGATACATGGGAACGTTGGATAGCATGATTAAGGCTCACAGTACATTATTACCATAGAAACTCACCTTGTTTCTGAATTCTTGACAGGGTGAAGGATTTCCATTTCCCATCATTATGGTTTTGATTGCTGACAACGGAAGCCATTCCTGAACCCAGATCATAGCTGACTTTTACATGCCCATCGGTGAGTTCTACACTCATGAAATCTTTCTGTGATGAAGTAAAAATACACTAGTGATTAGATACATAGCGAAACATGAGTATTCACTTTCTTTGTGGGGTTTATAATAGGGCCTTATGGCTAAGTCACTAAATGTGTTGATCAGTAAGTGACATCCATTTTAGAAACAGAATTGGTACTAGTATTTTGTGAATGTTGGTGGGTGTGATATCGTGGTGTCAATGGTCACAACCAATTACTAGGGCATATCCTTTTATGACAGAAGAATAAAGGAGGTTCCTATGAAAACATATTAAGCCAACTAAAAGATATGTTCCCTGGAAGAATTTACTAAGAGATATTAACTTAGAAAAACAAAGAGGACATTTAGTACCACCTTTCAACTTAGGTGTTTAGAAGACTAAAGCAGTAGTTTTGCTGCTGCATGATTCCATACTGCAGGAATCTTTACTGAGTGCTTCTCTTAAAGGATTATATAGGGAACTATATTGAAAATAAGTAATAATTATATTGCATCTGTAATTGAATTTATCAATGAAAATATATAAGTTCTATCTGCATCACCCACTCTTGGCTGTCACACAGCCATCCCTGAATTCTTTGAATAATAATTGATAATTTAACAATAATTGATAATTGTATTGGAATCCTACGGAAAGAGGCAAACAAATGATCAATCATGGAAAATCAGCTGTGCATGTCTTTACCAGGTCTCGTGTGGCAAGGTACATCAGGAGAGCACTTGAAGAAAATGTCCTGAACTTGAACATGACAGTTGAGATGTTGGGGTACCAACGAATGGGGCGGCTGACCAATGCGTACCCTTCTCCATCAAACTGAATAGTCCCTTCACTATCTTCTACCTGAGGACTGAAGAGAGACATTTCACATGAATCAATATCTGTTTCATCCATCAGTATTCAATACATCAAATTGTCTTCTGAGACTCAATTGTGAGCTGTTCTAGGACAGAAACCATCCCAAATAAATCTTCAATCCTTCTATTTCTCTCCACCTCTACTGCCACAATTCTAGACCAAGTAGCAGTCACCTCTTACCTGGACTTTATCTGGTGTTCAATAACTAAGTTATTGATGTTTTAAATGCTTTATGTTTTACTGAAATACTTGGTGGAAAGTTATGGTGGCATTTAAGTGTATCTTAGTGGTGTGAACAGGTGGGGTTTTGGATAGACTGAGAATGTGTTATTACATATCTCATGTACATAACATAATGGAAGGGTTGGGCGCAATGGGTGAAGGTGGTCAGAAATACAAACTTACAGTTATAAGAAAAACAAAACATAATGGAATAAATGTCTCTACTCTCTAAATTATTGCTATCCAATAGGTTTTTCTGGGACAAATTAGATTCAGACAATAAGGGATGGCTCTATCTATTTCAGTGTGTGTTTTTCTGTGTTCTTCACTAGAATGCAAGCTATATGAGACCAGCTAGAGATTATGGGCCAGGCTTTATGTCAGTCACAAACTCGGCACCTAGTATGACACAGCTCAAAGTAGAATCTCATGTGTGCAATGAAAGAGATTTTAGTACAGCAAATTGCCTCGCAGAGAATATATATTCTATCAATATTGGTTGAATCATTAAGAAATATCTAAGATAATCCTTGTAAAAATGACACTTAGAATCATTTCTTTTTCAAATGCAAAGTTATTTATCATCTATCAATCAACCTAATGGTGTTGTTACAGATTAAGTCTCAAATTGTGGAGATTTTTTAAAACTTTAAATATTGGCATATTAGCATCTGCTTGAATCTCTGAAATTGGAGTGCTGTATTAACTTGGGGATAGAGGGGAGATACTGAGAAATATTATAGCAATGTCATTGTAAAATAACCGGAGTCTAGAATATTATTTGCACGAAATCTTGGCTAATGATAAAACCAGCAGTGTACAAACATTAATTGGCTTGTGAAAGAAGAACTGTTACATATTTTAGTTGAGTTGGCTTTCTCTCTGTTCCTGGACCAGAGAGAAATAAAAATGAAGACAAAAAAGAAGGGAAGAGTCTTTACTGTGTCTTGCATGGTCAGGCCTTTGTAATTTTAAGTTATATCTAATTTAGAATAAGATCAGATGATGTCATACATTTTTTTCCTAATGTAAACTTAAAAGATGCTTTTCAATACTCCAGCAAAGTGTTAACTAAAAGTATGAGGAGCTAAATTAGTCTATTAATAAACAGTATAATTGGTAGTGAATAAATTGGCTATGATTGGGCCTTTCTTCATCATTACAGCAAGCCTGCTCATTTCTGGAGCACTGCATTAGAGATAAGAGACTGTTGTGTAGCATCTAGTAAGGAGAAGTTCCTTGAGTTCTTGAAGCCTAGGGTTTTGCATTAAAGCTGCCATGCTACCATTGACAGTCCTGAAAAGTGTTGGCGGTGGGGGGAGGGGGGGGTCACTGTTGACAGTTTTCTGGATGCTTTGAGCCAATGCCCTGGCACTTATAATTTAAACAAATAAACAAAAACATACAGCCTCACTACACAGAACAAGTATTAGAAGAAAAAATATATCACATTTTTTTGTTGCTGTTTAAGAACTCTGGGATATTTATACTCTCATACCCTTATGTCCTTAATCCATTAATTCCTTCAATATTAATTAAAAAAATAGCAAAGTAAATGGCAGGCACCTTTGAATCTGATGTGAGGACCTGCTACAAGTCCCCTAACCCTTCAGGTGTCACCTTGAGATAAAAGGGTTAGATCAGTGAATGATTTCTAAGGCCTATTACTACTCCATTCCTTTAGAAGATTCCCTATTCAAGTAAAAGGCAACTCTGCAGGGGAGGGTTTTGTGCTGAGAACCTCTAAACCTACAGATGTAGATGAGCCCTGAACTTATTGGCCAAACCCAGGTAAGCCTGGCTTTAGATTGGTGACTTTGAGATGGGGGAAAAACGAATCCTTCCAGGTGTAGTCTATAATACTTCAACAACTAACATTATACTGGAGTGTTCTTACTCATTTTGAATATTTACCAGGAAAAGTAACTATTTTTTTTCTTATAATTAACATAAGTTAAGCTTCTTAACTTGCCTTTTGTTTCTCTTTTGAACTTTGATGTCTGGTCAATTTATTAAGGACTAATTATTTATTCTATTTGGAACAGACACACTCTTCCACATGTAACTTGTTAACTATAAAACTACAAGTATATTGGGGTTTAGGACATTAACATTTCATCATTGTTTCAATATTCAGTTAATATATTATATTTGTAACAGTTTTTTTTCTATTTTAATTTTAATGTGATTTTTAGAAGTTTAAGAAAAATAAGATACTTTTTTTTAATAGTCCTGGCAGACTCTTTCTTTTCTTTTCTCTTTTCTTTTCTTTTTGATAATTCTTTCTAAAGCATAACAATTGTATCCTTTTACTGACTACTGAATAAATGAACATTCCTAAAATGGACATTCTAAGATCTATAAAATGTTCTCAGTCTACGTCTCACAGCCTCAGCTTTTACATCTCCCACATATAATCGTTTCTGGCCTAAATCTGGAATGATTGGTATTTATGTTAAAATATATGTGTTCTCTTGAAAATAAAACACTACCAGGCACTGGGAGTTCTATAAAAATTATTCCTACAAATACCAAGACTTACAGAAAAATAGGGTTGGTGCAGGGTCACTCAAAACTTATGCAACTTTATAATCAGAGTGCTCACAAAAATAACAATATTGATCACAATATTAGCCTAGTTCAAAAAGCTATGTTATAATATTTAAAATGAAGAATTATTTCAGTAAATATAAAACTATACCTTAAAAGGAATAGGTGAAAGTCATTTGATGGCAAGGAGGAATGTAAGGAAGGGTTGACGGTACTGAGTGACAGACGGGGCAAAAAGGCACAATGCTGGAGGGGGAGAACTTCCAAGACAGAGTGCTTGGCCAAACCAAGGGCAAGTTCATGGATAGTCTTAACATTCAGCTGCCTTGACTCGGTTGTGCAAAACTTTTACATGCTGGAAAGAACTTTTTGTTTTAAAGCTTATTTATTCTTTTGAGAGAGAGAGAGCATAAGCAGGGGAGGAGGGCAGAGAGAGAGGAAAAGAGAGAGAATGCCACGCAGGCTCTGCACTGTCAGCACGAAGCCTGATGCAGGGGTTGAAATCACACACTGTGAGATCATGACCTGAGCCAAAACCAAGAGTCGGACTCTGAGCCACCCAGGTGGCCCTGGAAAGAACTCTGTCCAAAACTTATATGACTTCCACACCTTACTGATATCATTCTCCCATTTGCCAATCTTGCTTGAGTAAATTCACACTTGTAAAGCAGAACAGAGTTTACTTGTCCCTTCCTTTTTTTTTTTTATTTTTATTAAAAAAAAAATTTTTTAACGTTTATTTTATTTTTGAGACAGGGAGAGACAGTGTGAACGGGGGAGGGTCAGAGAGAGAGGGAGACACAGAATCGGAAGAAGGCTCCAGGCTCTGAGCTGTCAGCACAGAGCCCGACGCGGGGCTCGAACTCACAGATCCTGAGATCATGACCTGAGCCGAAGTCGGACGCTCAACTGACTGAGCCACCCAGGCGCCCCTACTTGTCCCTTCCTAAGAACATTCTGGCTTTCCAGCCTTTGCTGTCCCTGGTCCCTGGAACTAGAATGCTCTTTACCTACTATCTGCCAGCTCCTCCTTCGGACTCTTACTCCAGGGCAAGGCCCACCTCAAATGTTACCTCCTCCATGCAGAAGTCTAACACACTATAATAATTATATAAATTCATATAATATTTTATATACTAAAGGTACAAGATCTTTGCAGAATTTATAATTTGCATGTTATAATCTTAACACATTATATGTACTGCATTAAATGGACAATTGTTGATGATAGGCTTTTGAGAATCCTTTTTACAAATTTACCAAAAAAATGTTTAGGGAAAAGTTAGTGTTAATTTGTGAGTAGAGGAATGTTAATGTGAGCCTCATTGTCTTTGTTGTATCAAAAACATTTTACAGAAAACATTCCATGTTAGATTTTGTTGAAGATTATTCACCCAGCCACTTTAAACTATGAATGGGTTAGGCTTTTAAACTACCCTCAGTTCTGCATTGACAAGTCCATGATGTTAAGACGAAAATGGTAGTCTGCTATACTGATGGGGAATCTGGGTCCTGGCAATGTGCATGTTTCCTTCCAACTGGAAATTAAAAGTATGAACCACTTAGCACCTAGTGATGTTGAGCTGCTATGTGTGTATGTTAAGCTTCTAGGTATTTAACTTAAATTTTATAGTTTTAATAGGTTCAGTTGATTGTTGGGCTCTAAGTTATTTATGCTGAGAAATCCTCCACTTTTAGCTCATTGTTTTATATCCTCTATTCAGGTATATATAAGAATATCTATTCTCTATACGTGCTTTTGTATGCTTGTTAAAATTTTAAAATTCCTACACTCTGGGGCACTTGGGTGGCTCAGTCAGTTAAGGTCCTACTCTTGATTTCGGCTCAGGTCACGATCTCATGGGTTTGTGGGATCCAGACCTACATCAGGCTCTGTGCTGACAGCATGGAGCCTGCTTGGGATTCTTTCTCCCTCCTTGTCTCTTTCTCTCTCTCTTTTCCTGTCTCTCAAAAATAATAAATAAACATTAAAATAAATAAATAGGCATTAAAATAACTAAGTAAATAAGTAAATAAATAAATAAATTCCTACACCCTAACCTCTATGTTGTAATTGGTGATGTGTATTATGGCACTTTCTCCTATCCTGTCTTGGCCCCTTCTTATCCTTCTCCACTTAAGCAGAATCTTCAAGTCCAATGGGTTTCCACTCGAAACACTTATAGGACCCTATGTGTTATTTGGAAAATCCTGTCGGAGATCAAATTGCACCAGGGTTCTCCATTTTGTTGTAAACATAAGTGGAGTGTGTCCAAGCTCTGTGAAGACTGAAGCTTAACAAGTTCAGGGAAAGCTGTCTTTAAGAAAAAAGAAATTATGATGACAGCATAGCTACAGATATGCAAAACCTCCTGGTGCCAGACATGAAGGGTGGTTGGAGTGGAAAGAGACAGTAGTCTTAACTGACTGAGGTTAAAATACCTTGCCTTATAGATTTTACAAACACACATGACCAGTTAAAGTACCGCCAAGGCACCTCCCATTCGCCCAAATGGGTGAAAGGATTTGACCTTTTATCAGCTTCATGGTAAGTCACCTCTGGTCACGATCCCTTCCAACCCGCTCCATATCATCCACGTGATAACAGAATATCGTACAATAAAATTAAGTTTTTGTAAAGCACAGACCAGACCTTAGGGGAGTCCTCATCTCAACTAACCTGACAGTACATCCTTTGCAGTCACCTTCTTTTTCTCGGAAATTCCATAACCCTATAGGTTTGCTGTCAAAGTATGTTTCTCCCATACAGCCAGTGAATGTAACCACGCGTACAGCATCGGCCTTCTGCAGAGAGAAGCATTATATTTGTTAGAGTTAGAATTTCACAAGAAGTCTTAGAGTACCCACGAGAGGCATTGGCAGCAAAATCTGGAGTACTTATTATCCGCTCTTTGTGATAGTCTTGGCTTGTACATATTCATCTTTAACCCTATTATATCCTCACAGATCCTGGTTATTTTGCGCGAAGCCATTTTATCACCATTAGTAAATAAACACTTCCTAGCTTCCCGCTTCAGGTGAGCTAGTTCTCTGCTTTGAGATTCCATTTTTTTGTCTCTAAGATGGGATTCTTAGAATTCATTTGGGTAATTTATTCATGGTACCACATTCAGTGCCTGACACAGAGAAGGTATTTAATTAATGAGAGCATTCGTACACCACTAAGGAGACATCTCTCTAAAGATCTTGAGAAGGGGCACTCACTGACTACATGGAAGGGGAAGAAACAACTCACATAGAGATCACTTAGTGATAGTGTTGCCCCCAATTTTTCATTTCCTCCTATACCCAAGCAGGTTTCCAACTCCGGAGAATGAAGGGAAAGAGTGAATTTGCAAGAGAAGGGACCATCTTGTGATTCTCTGCTAGTATACACAGCATAAAGCCTATTAGGGCTCAGTAAATATTTGTTAAATGACAACCCTGGTGTCATTTTCACAGGAAAAGGTCTTAAACTTGATAGATAACACAATCACAAAGGAGGGGAATGACCTGGTCTACTCTAATGGAACTTGGCTGTAATTTAAACAATGATTTCTTTTGGCATGGACACATTACAAATAAATTCTATATTCTGGTACCTATAACTTTAGAAATGCTTTGCCAAAGCTGACCCACAATTATCTGAGTAGTCTAGGGTTAAAAAGTGAATGGACGTGTTTGGGTTTTAGAACACGTGTAGGAAGATGATCCCTGAATAGATAACGTTTGTAGTTACAATTTTGGGTGAAACTCAACATGTACATCTTTCTCTTGCTGTGACTCAGTGGTGCACTGCCATGTAGAAAGAATGTTTATCACAGCCACTGACATTTACAAGTCAGAGCGGCCCTTGGAATTCTCTGTTATCAGTTGGAGTCTCTTTTAATTTTCCGGAGGTTGATTATCCTACTTGTGGATTCTGTTTGCTTTTTGCTTTCCCTTCTTGCATCCTAAAAACTAGACTTGGGATATTTTCCTGCTCCTTTGAATTTTCATTAGCATGTTGATTTAGTTACTTGTTTCCAGCTTTTGGTTCATATTCTGATGTGTTAGGAGCCTTGAAACTCTTGGCCAAAATGATTAAGATTTTCTGCAGATTTCATTTGTCTGTTTTCTTTTTCCCTGAAACTGGCATAAAAAAATTTATTTATGCCTAGTGACATCTGAATAACAATAAGAATTATTTAGGATGCAATTTAATGTGTGACTACCACACCTTAGGCATTTGTTGTAAATTTCATGCACATAATCTCTCACTATTCACTGTGGCAGTGAAACGTGGTGCCTAAGGATGGAGGCTTCTGTGGCTGCTAACCTGTGTTCCAATCCCAGCTCTGCCTCTAACTGCTGTGTGACCTTGGTCGAGTCATTGAACTCCTCTCTGACTCCGATTCCTTAAATATAAAATGAGGAGGATATTATCTACCTTTTGGGGTTGCTGTGACAATTAAATAAGGTAATTCACGTGAATTCCTTATAATTTTACTTAGCACAACAGGGCTTTAAAAGGTTATAAAAATTTATTGTCATACCTTTCAATATGCAAGCAAGGTAGATATTTTAGCTCTCTTTTTCTAGTTGAGAAAACTGAAGGCCAAGGGGCTAAGTGACTTGCCTGTTAGAGGCGGAGAATCCAACTTGGATTTGATTTCAAAATGCATGGTTTTTATACTACTCTGTGCTCCCCCTATATTTATCTTTCTGGGGAGGAGAGAAAGTTGGCAACATGACTATATATTACTATGTGCCATATATATTTATATGCTGTTCTAAGAAATGAGGATGGTTTTAGTGTGTAGCTCTGGAATCCATTCCAATACTTTCGAGTCACATCTCATCCACGAAGCAAATAAAACAACCTCGCTCTCTATGAAGGTTGAGTCTCATAAATTTGGGGTCACCCTGGCTTTTCACATTTTCTGACTAATCCCATCCCGAGACTATTCTGACAAGCCCAGGGTTATCCATTGTATTTGGTTGTGTTCTTGCATGTCACCGACACGTCGTTTTTCCATTTAATCAACATGAGCTTCTTTTAAAATGCAGGCACTTTGCAATTTCAAATGCACAAGGACCTGTCATGAAGCAATTATGAATATTAAGTGCAGTGCTCTATAAGAATGAGGGGAAGAGCAACTTGAAAACTTTAAAAATCCGACCATGATTTGGAAGCTTATGACTCCCGTGATATTTCCCAAGGTATTCATAAATCTTTTAATTAGATGGAAGTTTGAACTTTATAGCACTTCGTATCAATAAATCATAAGCTGATTCAGAAAAAGGGGTATATTGAAAACACACTTTGCTCTTGAGGCAACTGAAACAAGACTGTAAAGAAAACAGGTGCCACCGATAAGGGCAAAAGAACCGTTTAAGTAAATACGCAAAGGCTTAAAAACATTGTGTTTCCAGACTGAATAGTCAGAGAAGAAGAAATTCCTACTCAAAATATATTTATGTTTTCATACACACATGAAGGAAAAAATAGTCAAGTTTTTGCAAAACTTCATCATGCCTTCCCCTAGAGTCATCACATCAGGTCTTATGTACAGAGATGAGATCAACAGAATGGGAAAGAGAACGCCACCTTCAGTTTCCCAGTCAAGCCACCAACGAACAGCATCGCGTTTGCATCCACATCAAGAATAGTATACCCTGGAGGAGACACCGCGTGGTATGTACTGGGCACAATGCTGGCTTTGGGTCCATCCAGGGCTCTCACAGAAATGGTCCCGTTCCTCCCAGTTCTTGAGGGGTCCGCGTTGAAAGGAAGTGAAAGAAAATACAGAAAATGGAATATGCATCACATTTACAGGAACTTCAGTTTCAAAAGGTATGAAACAAAGGTCTTGTTTTGGAATTTTCAAGAGATAACTGGGTGCTGAGCTTCAAAAGATCTGGATTCATTACACTGCAAGTCAAAACCAAGAGTCTGATCTTTGCTGGATGCTTACTGTCAGATTCAGCCAGGGACCAGTAAGCAACATACCCTGACTCTGCACCTGGTAGTTGATATGAAACGACGCAGTAGCAATTAGCTGATGGAACTGCCAGTGGTTAAATGGGAAACCTTTTTCCTGTTGCTTTCCAAAACACTTTACTATCTACCAACACATGCTATTTCAACAAGTTCATACTACTTTATTTAGCATTTTGTCTAATTTAATTCAGCAAGTGAACCCCAAATGAGCCACCCTTCTGCATTATAAGCTCCATCGTTTCTCCTAAAATCCCTTATTATATCTTGGATCCAAACTTGCTGAAGTAGAGTCTTCCTGGAATTGTGCATCTTTTATTGTTTGGCATATACCATCTTAACACATACAGCATAATGTCTGCTCTTCAGAGTTGTGTATACAAATTGCATAGAAGAACTGTGCTTTTAAGTTCCATTAATAGAATTCTGAAAGCTATTATTATTTTATTTCATTTTCTCAAGTGATTGATGTCTATGACTTGTTAAATATGAAACACCGCTCTCTCTTCTGAGATAAGCGGCCACAACAGAACTTGAGTGTCTCTGTCTCTCCCTGCTGTCTCATTTAGGAAATCTTTTTCTCTCTGAGGGTGCAGTGTTAACCGAAGTACCTGGAAACAACAGAATGAATTTATCAAATAAGGTTCTTCTTCATCTTGCCAGATCTTACCACTATCCCTTCTGATTGAAAAATTGACCTCTGTCTATATAAGCATTCTTAAACTCATAGTACTTTATCTATCCCCAACCATCACACATGCAAGCGTACTATCTGCTTTCTCTCTCTCTCTACACGCACGCACACACACACACACACACACACACACACACACAACATACTGTCTGTCTCCTCTCTCTCTCTCTCTCTCTCTCACACACACACACACACACACACACAACACAACACATTCTTTTACCAAAGATCTAAAAAGGAACTAAAAATATTTCTTCTCATTAGGTTTTAAGCTTTAATATAGAAACATTTAAGCATATGCAAACCCAGAGTAAAACTCTTTGTATTCATCATCTACATTCCAGGGTTGCTTTACACAACTCTAGCCCCAGGCCCTTAACTCTACCTCTCAACTACTAGCTGCTCTGGGTTCAGTAGGTGTTGGGAATAAGGAAAAGATGAGGACATGAGGGAAAAGGATTGAGGACAACAATGGGTTCTCTATATTATCTATACACTGCTAGAAGTTAACTGAATTAAAGCTTCAAATACAGAATGAATCAATATCTTGTTACTTTCCATTTTAAGTAGTATGGGCCTGACATACTATATATTTGTGCCAGCATTTAGAAACTGCCCCTGCCTGTAGGCAACGCTGCTGTGTAGAGTAGAGGAGCTGAGCACTCGAAGACAGGCGCCACTGGCAGCTTTCATGCTCTGTTTTGTGCTGAACGAGGGCAAGTCCCAGGGGACTTCTTCAGGGGAGAGAGTATGACTGATAGTATGATGGTATGGCTATGAGACAACCAGATGCACGGTCCAGAATGGACTGGTCACTCTGGTCAGTACCTTGAAGGTTTGTCAGTTGCTAACAGGGACTACGAGAGACCCGTTCACACACATATAGACATATACATTTACTACATAAAATTTGTATACATGCATACATAGCTACCTCCTTGAAATGGAAAAAAGGAGTTTTCTTTTAAACTGGGAACCTACTTCAAAATTCTGTCATTTAATTGTCTTAATCTTTATTTAGGTAGTTACCTTGATGCCTCAATACGGTACCAGTATGAGTCATCAATGGTCAAATCTGGATACTCTACGCGTCCAACTCCGGATCCAACATCCCAGAGAAAGCTGACTTTGCCTTTACGCATTTCTATAGCCAGAAAGTCAATCTAGTCCAGAGAAACACAAAAACGATACATATCAGACATCTGAGAAGGCCAACAGCGTTCTTTTCAACAGGTGGTATTTACAGATATGTGAAATAATTATAAGTCTCACAATAAAAATTCTCAAATGATATGATCTATTATTACGCATGATTAAGTAATATTTATTATTGTATCTTTAAGGCAACACGTGTGTCCTTACTGCTGAGGCATATGTGCTAATTTAACTAATTCTACTTTTCAAACAAGTCTTTTCTCCTTCTGATTCTTTTGGTAGAGACAAAAGAAAATATTTGGATGCAGAATTCATTGTTTTCACCAAGGATACTGACATATATATTTTTCTAAGTTTATTTATTTATTTTAGGAGAGAGGGAGTGGCAGAGAGAGGGAGAGAGAGAATCCCAATCAGGCTCTGTGCTGCCAGCATGGAGCCCAGTGTGGGGCTTGAACTCAGAAACCATGAGATCATGACATGAGCTGAAATCAAGAGCCAGACACTTAACTGACTGAGCCACCCTGGTGCCCCAGACACTGACATTTTTAAGGAGCTAACTATGATTTTTCACCTAAGGTGACGTAGAAGTTCTCACCTGAATGACAAGTATTGACTTATGCAATGACTGATTTGTTGAAAATTTTATTCATTTTGGAAGATCCCCATGCATACAAAGTTAAATGTCCAAATAAAAGGAATGAAAACTTTTCGGGTGAGATTTGTAGATATGACTTCTGTTTATTCAGGTTCAGTTATAAATTCAACATGAATCAAAAGAGTTTTCATTGGTAGGAAATGCGTACACAATTTGTCATTTTCTTTTTTTTTTAAATTTTTTCTTTTTAACGTTTATTTATTTTTGAGACAGAGAGAGAAGAACATGAACGGGGGAGGGTCAGAGAGAGGGAGGGAGACACAGAATCTGAAACAGGCTCCAGGCTCTGAGCTGTCAGCACAGAGCCCGACACGGAACTTGAACTCATGAACCGCAAGATCATGACCTGAGCCGAAGTCGGACGCTCAACAGACTGAGCCACCCAGGCGCCCCCACAATTTGTCATTTTCATTTAACATGAAAGCTCATTATAATTTCTTAGAGACTTGTTTTTAAATTTTTTAATGTTTATTTATTTTTGAAGGAGAGAGAGACAGAGCATGAGCAGGGAGGGGCAGAGAGAGAGAGGGAGACACAGAATTCTGAAGCAGAATCCAAACTGTCAGCACAGAGCCCGATGTGGGGCTCAAACCCACAAACCACCAGATCATGACCTGAGCTGAAGTCAGACACTCAACAGGCTGAGCCACCCAGGCGCCCCCATTAGAGACTTGTTTTTAAAGCTTTATTTCTATTAGTCCTTCTTCTTAAATAGGCAGATCTGAAAATATCATTCTAAATAAATGCTGGCATACTCACAAATGAAAGCAGATGTACCTAAACCCTGTAAAAAGTTTTCTTCATTTCATTTTCCTTCTAACTTAATTTGATACTTCAGAACTTTCATGACATAAGATTCTGAGGTTTTCAAATCTGAAAACCTAACACAATTTTGGGAGCATATTATTAGATTCTATACATTTTCCTTACTACCAGGATTAACCTCTGCCTATTCACACATACAGGAGACTGAAGAAGCTGGATATTGAACTTACAAATTTGGCACTTCCAAGATAAAAAAGGAGGTTGTCGGCCACAGCTGTCTTTACGTTGACAACGATATTGTTGTAGCTTCCCTTCTTGATTTCAGGCTTGTATGTTCGAATGCAGTCACCCCCGGAAGACACAGATACTTTGATCTTCAAGAAAAACAGGCACAAAGAACCAAGACTAAATCTCTCAGGAAGTGTGAAGTACCTCCCAAACAACTACAAAACCATCATCATCCCTTCTTTGAAGTTATTTTTCTACCATCAAATAGAATCATTAAATGCCCATATGCGGACACCATTACACTCATTAATGAGGGTGCAGAAGCCAGCTTCCCGGGGAGATTTGGACAATGAGCTGTTCACAGCCCATATCATGTTAGTGTGCTACTGTTTTTTGAAGCACCCAAGTAACAAATTCTTACCTTCATACCTTTCTCCTTTATGAATGTGGGGACATTTTCCAGAGGTGATTTTATATGAAGCTAATGATAATGATTTTCATTAGGGTTGTTGAGCGAAATTCTACAGTTCAAATTTCAGTGATTTTCATATCACTTTAGTAGGACATCATTTTTCTTTTAGTTTTTGAGAGGAAATTACTTACCCTCTCCTGTTCTTACAGTTGGAAGAGGCCAACTAGATTTTGTTCTAGATGTTCTAACAATACGAAGAATATTAATCATGCCACTCAGAACATACATTTGAGAATAAATTATACCTTTTTATTAAGTAAATGAAATGGAAATAATTTTCCAGGAAATGAATAATTTGCCAGGAAATGAAACGGAAATAATTTTCAATGGCTATTCCTACTAATGCATTTAACAGCTCCTTTTTCTTTTGATGAGTACTTTAAAAATTACTATAAATTGCTAAGAAAGGAATTCCTACATGAACAGAACTGAAACTGCTCAGGCCGATTCTTACTCACATTTAGGGAGCCTTTCTTCAGTCACAAATAACACTAGTTGATTATGTGACTTAATTTCCTTCGGTTCGGGTGTACCCTCAAATGGCATTTTCAGGATGGCAATGGAGTTGCAGGAACTCGGGAAGAAACTGCAACTTTGCTCCATGGCAGTGCTCCAAGTAGGAAGCGGAGACAAGGAAGGGTGCAGACCTTTCCTTGCCACTGATTTAAATGCTCAGCTTCCAGAAGCCTCTTGGTTCTCACTAGCAGTGAATTTTCTCATTCCTTCTAGCACTTGGTGCTACTCAAACAGTTTTTGCACTTGGGTGAAAACCAGCTAGCTTTATTGTTCCCCTCACAAATGCCAGTCTCCATGTTATGGCGACAAGGAAGCAGCTCCAAAAGTCTAGAGAATGGGCATAGGCAGCACCAGGACCCCTCCCCAAGTGTGGTATAGACAACACTGAAGAGGTGCTGGATGAAAAATTGGGTACGTTTTCAAAAGAAAGCCAAGGAGAGATTTTTTGGTTCTGATGAATATGTAAATTCATATGTGTTTGAGAACTTCTGGGGACATAGCAGATCGGTTGCATTTCCTATAGACTCCGTGTAAGTCATGTATTTGTATATTATTGTTTCCTCGCCTAATCTGATAACCAAATTGCATCATCTGCACATCTGCAGAGAAATCAAGTGCTAGAAAGGTACAGGGCTCAGCCTAATGGAGCTCTGCGTGGTGACCCGGGGCTTGAATAACCTCGAAGCCTGTTGCTTAGATGGTTTTCCTTGTCCTTGCCTTCCTCCTAAGGGGAGGGGGTAGTCTGCAACACTGGTACCCAGAATGTTTGCTCTGTGTTCTGGGGGGAGATATAGTCTTCCTGCTAAGTGTAGTTTCCTATCAGGAAGTTTGTTCTTTGCTCCACAAATGATGGGATTTTCCTTCTACATAACGTGCGAAGAGTAGGTAAATGAAAATGACTTGAGAAAAACAGAACTAGGAAACATGCAACTTTTACTCTGGATGTTAATACTATGGAGCAGACATGCCATGAAGGTTGGCAGAGGGTGCTACCTGATGGAGTAGCAGCTATACCAAGGGTTATCCAAGGGCTTAGAGAGAAAAAGTATAAAGTAAAGCACGAGAAGGATAATACGGTAGAGGGCAGGCAGGAGAAATGCAGCCTTCAGATGTTTTTAATGCTTAGGAAAAGGTGCAGGATATCATGAGTATTTAGGAATTTGCAGCAAGTGAACAAAGATCATCATCAGAGAAGACCCTGGCACCAAGCAAATCCAATATCTAAAGCAGGGTATACGCATCACTGACATAATAAGTCAAAGAGAAGAAATCAAGGTCTACCGGGAATTCGTGAGTGGAGCTGAACAGCAGATTGAATGATCTTCGGCAGGAAATCATAACCAAATTCTTAGTGGGGCTGGATTAGTAATCAAAAGTAACTGGGTGTGTGGTCTGTCTTACCTTTATTTCTCAAATGCTTTCTAGTTTGGGCCACTGAGCCACATTATGGCTAGTTTAATCACAAGTAACTTATTTTTGTTCACAGAATCCAATGTAATCATACTACTTGGTTGCTGTTTAGAGAAGAAATGCCTGAATGTGGGTGGAATACACGACAGTTTGGTCACAGGATTGGCTTCGGTGCTTGGTTAGGTATACCTGGGGGAAATGATAGGGGATTGCATGACTGGTGTGTTGAAAAGGGGATTATCAAAGTGTAGACTATAGAGCACCAGTGCTGAAGCCTAAGTGAACTGTGGAAATTCTGAGAACAGAGAGTCTAAGGGAGTAGCCATTTTAAAACTCAGGGTATTTACTGTTGCTAGGAGTTAACAGTTAATCTCCTTTATGCCATAGTATACATATCTAAAAATAGGGTTCTCCAAACAAAATGATGGTGTTATGCCCCAGATGCCAGCAATTGATCTCATAAAGTAATCTATTGCTCAACTCTTGCACATTTATATAAAAATCCCTCTGGATTTTCTGTTTTCTGCCTTATGGTTTTGAATATATCCTCAGTATCTGAAAAATTCAGGCAGCTCAAACAGTTGGTAACCAGTCCATAGCTACTAATCTCTCCTTTTAACTTCGTTGTGTTTTGATTTCCAGTAATAGAGACCTCTTTAACAAATCTAAACAAAGTAAATCAAAATACAGTATTTATAAATTTCTCTAGAAGTTGCTAGGACATATGCCTTTCATAAGAAGGGAGAGGTTTCTGAAACACCAACATTTCTTAGAATGTTCGGGTCTATCAATTATTCTTCTAATATGAACCCTTCCTAAGACTTCCAAACAAAAACCACTAAACATTAGGTACCTCCAAGGCATTTCTCATACAACATTACTAATGAATCATTATGAACTCAATTAAACATTATTGAGGATCCCATTATTATATCTATTGGATTTTCACTGCATTATGTTCATCCAGTAACTAGGTCATTCATTTAAAAAGAGTATCAGCTACTCAATTTCAGAGCCAACAAACTAAAGAAAGATACTCTATTTTTATTTAAAAATGTTAAAAATGTTTATTTATTTACTTTTGAGAGTGAGAGAGCACAAGCGGGGGAAGGATAGAGAGAGGGAGACACAGAACCTGAAGTGGGATCTAAGCTCTGAGGTGTCAGCACAGAGCCCTACGCAGGGCTGGAACTCACAAACTGTGAGATCCTAACCTGAGCTGAAATCAAACACTTAACCGACTGAGCCACCCAGGTGCCCCAAGAAACCTACTTTAAAATACATGTCTTTAATTTCTTGGTCATGTTGAGTACGTATCAGGGCCACATTCAGACACTTGTGCCAGGTTACAAATATATTTACAAATCAGGCAGATGTCATCTTCAATAGGCACAAAACTCACTTGAAAAAAATTTGGCTTGCTTCTGTATTTCTAACATCTTATTAAAAAAAATAAGACACTTTGCTATAACTTCCATTTCCAAACGTGACTGAAAATTTCCTTGAAAGGCATGGACAATGGTTAATTCTTGTAGCATTTATTTTTAACTTTCAATTTGTATCTTGAGACAGGTTTTATATACTTAACATGCCACAATTTAATCTTTTTCCCCTGGCGGGGGGGGGGAGGAGGGTAGGAGAAAACACAACTGATGACTATATGGCATATTTTTAGATTTCTTTATAAGAAGAAATAATAAAAATGTCTGGATTTGCCCACATGATGACTTAAAAAATGTGGCTAAGTGTGTGATTCACAAGAGAATATTTGCTATTTTTGTTTCTTTAAATTAACATTGCAAAATACAGGAGTGATATCTCAATCTCTCTGTTTCCCTTGTTACTACCACCTGCTACAGTTGAGACTCTTATTAAAGTGACCTTCTTTCTAGTATTCTCTCATTTACACCCCAAGCCACTTCCAGATTCATATTCAAAAAAGCACAGCTCTGATAATATTACGTTTCATGTTCGAGAACTTTCAGCTTTTCCTCACCAATGAGGTTTATCTCAGGTATAACTGCGTCTAAACAAAACTTCTCTCCTTACCAGCCAAGGCCAACAAGAGCTGGTCTCCATTGACCTTTCCTGTTTAATGTTCACTCTACTAATAATCCTGGCAAACGAGACCACTCTCTCATGAAATGACGCTGAAACTTCCTTCTCTCTCTGCCTTTCTCATTCTCAGAATGCTCTGCTTCCTTACCCTCCCCTCCCTCATCCAGCACTACCGCACTCAAGGCCTGGCTCAAATTCTTTTCTTTGGAAAATCTGGTCCCTACCAGAGGGGATCTTCCTTTCCAGAACTTTATCCCCCTTCCCATTGCTCATGTACAGTAGCACACTATTTGGCATTATCTTAGAGTTATTTACGTATACATCTTATTTTTTCTATGGTGTTATAAACTTTGTACATAAAAGTAGCCTTGAACAGAGGAGATGCTTTTTCTACCTTGGCTTAATCTTAGTTAAAACCACAAACCTCAGACTATCATCTGACTTCTTTTCACTTTGTGCTTCATATATATCATACTCATGTGTCATCATACTGCCTACACGGTTTTCATATTGTAGCTCAATATGTATCTTCTCAACCCTGGCTGCTGCTTTCACTTTGAGCTTATGTGCATCATCTTGACTAATTTTTTGTCATTTTCTAAATTTCTCTTAAAATTTTTTAACGTTTATTTATTTTTGAGAGAGAGCCCATGCACGTGGGAGGGGCAGAGAGAGAGGGAAACACAGAATCTGAAGCAGGTTCCAGGCTCTGAGCTGTTAGCAAAGAGCCCGGCGTGGTGCTTGAACCCACAAACTGTGAGATCATGACCTGAGCCGAAGTTGGCCACTTAACCGACTGAGTCCCCCAGGCACCCCTAAATTTCTCTTTAGTCAGCATGAATCCCTTTTTAAAGTGCACCTTGAACTTATTATCTTAGCCTTGTTTAGAGGTATCAGCAATGTAAAATGATATACTGTTACTTGGGCATCATATTATTGGTCCACTACTAAAAAATATATAAACTGATGAGTTAAGAAAAGGCATTTTCTGGTCCTTCTAGCTTCAAAGTTGTTCAGAAAAATGGAACTTTCAAGATGGAAGACTTAGGTATCTAAAAAGATTTGAGTATAAACATGACAACACAAAAACTGTTATTTTTTGCTTGCATTTCTAGAGTTGTCATGGGATGAACTTACTAGTCTAGATAAAGTTTCACATTGGCACTTAACAATTCTACCCTGGTTCAACAGATTACTATCTTCTAGAAAGTTCTGTTTTTTTCCTAATAGTTTTCTAATTAGATTAATAAAGAGCAAAATTTTGATACAACTGAGGTATTCTCCATTCTTAATTCAAAAAAACCTGCAGAAATTATAACCAAAATAATTTTTGTTGTCACTTGTACTCAGACAAAAAATATAGAAAATGGTGGTTCTTCATTGCTATTATTCTATGTACTCTTGTTCATTCCTTCCTGATACAGCCCCACCGATTGGCCTTTTTTGCTTTCATCAAAAGCAAGGAACTCTCATTCATGTCTTTTTAACAAACAATCTTGCTATTTGTGCTACTCTATTCAAATACTGATAAAATATAACAAAATTCCCATTTCTTTTAAAAAAATTTAAGTTTATCTGAGAGGGAGAGAGAGACAGTGCAAGCACAAGGGGGGGAGGGGCAGAGAGAGAAGAGAGAGAGAGAATCCCACGCAGGCTCTGCATCATTAGTACAAGCCTGATGTGGGGCTCAAACTCACAAACTGCGAGATCATGACCTGAGCCAAAGTCAAACACTTAACCCACTGAGCAACTCAGGTGCCCCACAAAATTCCCATTTCTAAAACAGTAAGTAGCGATTATTCATCCTATGAGATGTATTTTGAAATCTATGGGAAAAAAATCTAACCTTTTATCCTCCTCCCCTACCCTTAAAACAGCGTCAAGTTAAAGGAAAACAAACAGATTATTCAACAGGATACACTGGGAGAAGTTATTCACTCTGGGAATAATACAAAAAAATTACAATCAATTACTGATATTGAAAGTAAAAAGCTTACAGAATTGGCTTGTTTCCGGGCTTGGTTTATCAGTTCCTTTATCTCAGAGATGTTTTTCTTTAGGTTATCCTCAAGTTCCTTGATGGGTTTGAGTTTATCTATTAGACGATCAGCTTCTTGTTCTAGATTTTTCACAGTGGCGTCTGCATCTGCAACTGCATAGACCAAGATTCGTGCACACCACACACACACACACACACACACACACACACACACACACACACAGAAATGAAAATAGTAGTATGCTCAATTAAATAATTGAAAGGATTTCATCTTATCCACATGACAAAGCAGGGCCATGACTGTTGAAGCACAGTTTGTGATGGCAAATGGGAATATTCCAGTTGGAGCTCAAGCAGGTCAAAGCAGAAATGTTAGAGATAGAGGACCAATGCTTTGGCTTTGTGATCAAGGTGAAAGTTAGCATTGAAGGTAGAGAATACGAGGAACTCAATTCGATGATTAATTTCTAGCGTCAGCCAAAAATCTAACCTTTATGGAATAGAATTTCAGTTATGGAATCAAGGAAATGAAAGTGTTTTAAAATGTCATCTCATCTGTCCAAGCCAGAACTGTATTTAAGTCAGAGTTCTCACACAAAATTGGTTTTCTTTCTTTTTTCTCTCTGTCGTTCTTTGTACATCTTAAAGAGAGAAGCTATCAAAATGTCTTCTTGAAAACATTGCAATGTTCAACAACCCTCAGACTGAAGGCCTATGTTAAACTTTAATTAAATCTTTCATGCTGCAGTTCATTTTCATTTTGAAGAATAATTGATTATCCTAATCTCTGTATTAGGTTGAACCATATTAAACTGTCATTTTGATAGGTTAAAAAGGTTGAATATCGACAATTTGAAAAGGGGTTTTAACCCTCAAATAATTGAAGTTTATCACTGATCCAGAGACTTTCTGCATGTGCTTTTTGTAGGAGGGTAAATGACCCATGGAAACCAATTAGTCAATTTCTAGGATGCTGGCAGTCTTACCCAAACCATGTCACTTATTATCTGATTGAGCACGTATTGTTCTTCTTTCTGTCATTGTGACCATGATGAAAAAGTGAAACTACTTAAGGACCAAGGCTGTGCACCCTGCTCGGCTATGAACTATGTACTCTCTGGTGGCCAATGGACCACTGAGAGCTAATCCTCAGGAATGAATCAAACGTGCTCAAAAGGAAGGAAATTATTATTTTCTAAACTAGGTTTTGAATTAAGTATTTTGAACTCATTCATAAATATGAACAATATTGTGACTGATGTTTAAAAAGGACATAGGTCTGTTATTAATTTTAATAGAGTTGCTACATCAAAGCCTGAAATGCAGGTTACTGGCATCAAAGCCCTTGTTATATAATTGCATATTCAACAGAGGCACAGTAACTACTTTGTATTGTATACTTTTAATAAGCCATTTGCCCATGTTTTCTTTCCTTTAATTCTCCAATATTACTCTGGTTTTCTACAAATTATTCTAGAATTGAGAAAAATGGCTTAGATTTGGATTCATGGGAAAAAGGAAAAGGGTAAAGCAAAGGACACTTAAGGTTCGTCCAAGAAATGATTCTTTTCTTTGAAGCTTCCAGATTCTAATCAAATGTTTCTAAATGAAATTTGAATTTCCCCACCTCTCTCATTCCCCTCACCCCATCTTCTGAAGCAGATTAAGTCTTTTGGAAATTATCTTCTTGATGGTTTTAAAAATAAATAATCTGTAATAGTGAGTCTGATACTTTCTTGTAGTTTTTAAAAACTTCTGACTTTCTTCCATAATTATTTCAGCATATAGATTTAAAATCACCTTTGAAGATAGATTATGATTATGTTTTTCTAGAAAATTATCTATCTCTATTAGGCTCTAAAATTCATCAGCATAGAGTTTTGACAAGTACTCTCTTATGTGTTAAATTCCCCCCCCCTACTTTGTTATAGTTCCTTTAGAACTTTGCCTATCTGTGCTTTATCATTCTTGATTAAGCCTGCCAACAATTTAAAATGTTTTATCTTTACATTCCTAAAGATCGACCTCTTGTATTTATCAAGTATATTATTTTTCTCTTTTAATTCACCATTTTTTTCATCTTCTTTCTTTTAATTTTATTTTGTCTAATTTATAGGGTTGATTACCTAAAACGTTCATTTCACTGCTTGTTTAGTGAGTTGATCACACTCATTTCCCACTGAGGACAGCCTTGGTCATATTTCCCAGGTTTTGATATGTTGGATTGTATGTTATTTCCTATTCTGCGGTTTTATTTCTGACTTTGAGTTTAAGCTATGAGATGTTTAAGAGAGAATATTATTATATCCCAATAATTTCTCATTTAATAAGATCTAATTGTATTAATTTTATTAGGGGCTTCTCCAAGGATAATTCTCTAGAAGTTGAGAATAATTATTCATTAGGAGGGGGGAATGTGAGCTCCAGGGGAGAAAAGCAATGACAACAACATATATCTGATCTATTTTAATCCTGCTGCAAGGAAGTCATTTGAACTTCAGTGGTGGAATCTGTGTCATGAGAGGCATCACAATTTAGCTCAATTTGTGGAAGAATTCTGTTTTCCACCTTTCTGTTGGTATCATACAGATATTTCACTAATTTCTATAACACAATTGAAAATACTTAATATCAAATACATCCACATGCTAACTTTTTGTAAAGGAATATGTCCTTTTTTTAATGTATCTAGCGTCAATGCTGTGACACTGGAAAGCATAGCCATGCCATGTTAAAGCAATACCCAAACACACTAACATTCAAAGCTGAAGCTTTTGCAACAGGCAATCAAGCATGAAGTTGTTAAAAGCATGCAAGTAAACATATACATACTGATTTCTGCAGGTAATTTCATATGGAAGCAAAACAAAAAGAAATTAGAAAATTCATGAGGAAATATTTTTAGAGATATTACAAAGCAGTGATGATCAAAAAATGGTACTTGTCACAAGTCGTCCTAATAACAAATGCACCCTATTTTAAGTCAAACAAGTGTTATCAAATAAAAATCCACAGATACGTGTCAGTTAGCAGGCTATTGTTCTGAAAGATAGAAAACAGACCCAGTTTAATTAATATCACAGATAACTATCTCTAGATAGAGGGTAGGATCAAAGAGTTAGAGATAAATATTATGAAAAGGCCATATCAGATGAGAATCAATCTGAAGTGGAATGAAATGATCTCTTAAATTTTAAAATAAGTAAAAGAGAATGATATTTACTTTAAAACTAATTTTCATTCTTTTTTGAGTGTGTGTGTACGGGGATATTGTGATTTGGTATGCATTAGAAGCATTTATTCAGCTGGCAATGATGTTAAAAAACAGCACCCGAATTAGAGAACACGTAACATCAGTAACAGTGTTTTCGTTATTGCACGGATTAAACATTTTGACACCCAGTGAAAATGTTGGTGTATAAATAGAGGGCTTGTCTCTTGAGAGTATCAAGTACAAAAAACCAGGCGTCTCTTTTGGTGAAATCACAGAGTGAGATAATGTTCTATCACTTCACAGAATGGAAAAAAGAATATAAAAATATCCTAATGTTTACTGACTACAGTTTAATAATTTAAATTATCATTATATTAAGTTCTACCACATTTTCTCAGCAAAATCCTTATGAACTTGACATAATTTAATGCAATACACAAAAGATGTGAAGAAATATTCTTGATACAGTGCACAAATACTTAAATTTCCTGAAAATATTAACTAGAATTTAAATAATGAAATATTAATATTTTGTAATTTTAATGCATTTCAGGCCAATATCATTTTAATATCCTGTTATAAAGGTCTGCTAGTAAGTGTAGTCCTTGGCCTCTATGTTCCAAGGAACTTCACCAACTTGGGGGATATAATTTCCCAAGCACAACTGTGTTTTCAGTTACACTGAAGGATTAAAAATGTATTTGGCCAAAAAAAGAACAAAAAAGTATTTGGCATCCCTATACCAAAAATCATGCAGACTTTGAGAAGTTTAATTTCCTCTGGACTGGGCAAAATGTGGATGAAGAAAGCACTATGCAGAACCTGGGGACTTGGGTTCTAGTCCTGGAGCCACAGACGCTCCATTCTGGAGCCCAGTCTATGAGGAGAGCAGACAACATCACCGTGGGGGCTCCTCCAGCTCTAAGAGTTATGAGGCTAGGGTACTTTTATAGCGTGAAGAAACAAATGACACGATCAAAGTGAAAAAGGAGATCTTACTGTTCTTCGAAGGATCTTTTACCACAGCATTTGTTTTGGCTATGCTGTCTGCCAGTTGATTGTAATTTTTCTTCAGGCCGTCAAGGTCCTGGTGGAGATCTTTAATCCGTGCCAGCACATGTTTTGCTGTGTCGTTGGCTTGTCTCGCTTTGTCCTTAACACCTTGCAGTTTAGCGGCTGTGTCTGCCAGCAGAAGAAGGTGTAAGGAGCAAAACAAAGGGTGTGGGGTTGGTGGCTTACTCCATGCTTGTCAAAGGGAGAAGGTGGCTTGCCGACCTCAGGGACACACACACAAAGGGAAAGGCTGAACTTTGTCTCATTAGGTTATAGCAAATGAAATAAATTTTTAGCTAAATTAAATTTTCTCAGGGACCTTTGCTACGCATATTTGATTAGCTCTTCCGATAGCAGAGCTATTATTCTAAATGTTCATCGTCTAAGGGTACATTGTGATTTGCTGCTGAACTTATTAGACAGAGAAATTTATCCATGAGTCATAGTTTCATCTGCACATTCAGAAGGGGGAATGGTGAATGTACTTCAACTTAAAGGTAGAGAGACCTTCTCAGTTCTTTTAGACCATATGTTTATGTATTTACATTTATTTTTAGCATCGGAAATTTTCTATAAATGTCCTTGCTACTGAAGGACATGACATGCAATCCTGGAAAGTTAGTTTTTTTTAATGTTAAAAAAGTAAAAACAATGAATATTTCCTGTATTATATAAATGTATGCATTAGTTTCCTTGATCATAATTTGTGTAAAAAACATACACTGAAGAAATAGATGACAACTAGTGTGTGTAGATTAGTGGTTAAGACCACAGGCTCCAAGAGCACCTGGGTGACTAAGTTGGCTAAGCATCCAGCTCTTGATCTCAGCTCAGGTCATAATCTCATGGTTCGTGAGTTCAAGCCCCATGTCAGGCTCTGTACTGGCAGTGCAGAGCCTGCTTGGGATTCTCTCTCTCTCCCTCTCTCTACCCCTCCCCCACTTGTGTGTACTCTCTCTCTCTCTCTCTCTCTCTCTCAAAATAAATAAATAAACTTTAAAGCAAAAAGAAAAAAAAGACTACAGGCTCTGAAGTTAAGCTGTGGGGTTCAAATCTCATATATACCACTTTTAACAAGGGCCTTCAGTAGCTTATTTGTTTCTTAAGTTCCACATATGAGTGAAATCATACGATATTTGTCTTTCTCTGACTTATCTGCTTAGCATAATACCGTGTGTCAGTTTGTCACCTAAAAAGTGTGGATAATATTGTTCACTTTATAGGATTAGTATGAGGATCGCATACACTTAACAAGCATATTGGATAAGCACCCAAGAAATCTTAGCACACTTTGTTATTGTTCTTTCATGATATGAAAAATATAAAGGAGAGTGCTTTTAGGAACTAATACCAAACAGCAACCTCAAGTACTTACAATAGGTAGGAAGATATTACAGACAGGGTTCCATCATTAATGTTTGAAAGCTGAAACATTTAAGTACTGAACTTTGCGAAGACAGATGTGCTGATGGTTGCCAGAGGGGAAGTTGGTGGGGAGGATGAGCAAAATGGGTGAAGGGTAGTGGGAGGTCTCCCCTTATGTCATGAATAAGTCATAGAAATAAATACACAGTATAAAGGATATAGTCAATGCTACTGTAACAGCATTGTATCAGAAAAGACCTTAGCTACACTTGTGGTAGCATAACCTATAGCATAACCTATGGAGGAGTTGAATCAGTATGTTGTACGCTTGAAAATAATGTAATGATATGCATCAACTATACTCAAAAAAAAATGATGTGCAGAAAGGCTCTCACCTGTTACTGTAGGTACTATAATTATCTACTGTAGGTACTATAATTATCTGCTGCAGCTTTTCAAGAACAGTACTCGTGTGGTTTTATTTTTTTCTCATTAATATAAGATTACAAATAATATTATTTCTAATAATAATAGTCTTATTAGGAATAAGATTTCCCGGGCTGACACATGGAAGAACAGTATAATCACAACATGGCTCTATTTTCTTTTTTTGCAACATATACCTATGGCTGTCAGCCAGGGTAATAGAGCATAAGACATACCATAGTGTGAAGTATACTTTAATCTCTCATTCTCGCAAAGAAGAATTCATAAGTAAGAAAACCAATATCTAAGTTCCTGACAACAGTCCAAGTGCAGTGTCAGAAAAAATGGTAAACGTTAGGTCAACTGAAGGGCGCCTGGGTGGCTCAGTCGGTTGAGCGTCTGACTTTGGCTCAGGCCATGATCTCACGGTTTGTGAGTTCCAGCCCCGTGTTGGGCTCTGTGCTGATAGCTCAGAGCCTGGAGCCCGCTTCGGATTCTGTGTCTCCCTCTCTCTCTCTGCCCTTCCCTTGCTAATGCTGTCTCTATCTCTCATAAACAAATAAACTTAAAAAAAATTAAAAAAGAAGTTCAGGTCAACTGACACTGAGTGAGGTGTATATGGAATGCTTACCATCGGGAATGGCTGACGACTTTGCCAAAGTGTCATTCAAAGCTCTCAGGAGATCTCCATTTTTAACATCTGCATTTTCTAATCGGGTTATTAAGCCATTCAGATAATCATCATTTTCTGTGGGTAGAAAACAACAAAAAAGATGAAATAATTTTAATAATCTTTGAGTTTATACATCTCTGATCTGGATATATCATTTCACATTATTTTAATATAAAGCTTATAAAAGGCAGGAGAATTAACTTAATTCTTTTAATTAATTGGCATCTATCAATACATATATTTCAGATCATAATATAAAAGAATGTGTTTATGAAATAACCATTTCACTCTCCAACATGTTTTACAACCATGTTTTTTTATTGGTATCTGATCTTTCTCTGACTTAATTTGATGGTTTTCTATGGAGAAAAAACTTCAAAAGAATCAATCTTTTATTGCATTCATAATGATGCCCTCTTGACATCATTCCCATGAATATAATTATTTTCAAAATTTCATTACCAAAATGGATCATTTGGATTGGCTTTTAAAAATCTCAAATAGACTTTTGAGGAAGATGGCGG